ATATATACATACTTGTAAAAGTTTTGAAAAAATGCAAAAAACTGTACTGAAGGAAATAAAGTCACCCTTAATCCCACTTAGAGGTAATTACTATTCCTATTTTGATACATTTCCATAGTCTTTTTTATTCTTGTTTTTTAAATGGGGGGCATAGTGCTTTTTAATAATTTATGGTTTATAAAATTTAACATACTTCCTTTTTTCATTTTAACACTGAATCTTAAATTATTAAAAATTTTCAAAGTATTTTTATTTTCAAAGTATTATTTATTATATAATCTGGACCAGTTTTCAGATTAAGAAAATGTTAGAACTCCTGCAGTACTTTCCAATCATCTGAAAATACCTTAAGTGATTTTCAGTCATTGTCATAAATTGACATTAGTTCCCTTATACCCTAGAAAATGTAGAAAAAATTCTATTAGATCTGGGAGAACAAATACCTTCTAACTCAATTTCATCTGCTAAGATCTGTACTCAAGATGACAGCAACCTTCCCTACTTTTCCACCCTCACCTCTAATCTATTTCTTAATTTCTGACCCTGTTGTGTAGCCAGATATTTTTATTCTAATTTCACTAGAAACTAAAATGTATACAACCATCATTCTTGATTCACAGTAAAGATACACATTACTCTGTCTTATATTCATGTAACCACATTCAGGCTTCCTAAGATGAAAAAAGAAACTTAAATCAGATATCTACATTTTTTAAGACACAGAATATTAAACACATAATGAGGAGTTGGACTGATGCATTCCTGTTCTGACATAAAAAAACGTACAGGTAGGCAAATATTCCAAATTTCTAACAAAATTAGGAAAACTTTAATCTGCACAAAGCATTCTGGTATTAAATGAGGGAACAAATTTATGAATAAAGGAAGAAAACATCTTCCTTTTTGTCTGTCACAGACTTACGTGAATTAAAGCGAGAATCAAACAACCCCGTGCAAGAGAATGATTATATATTTTAAAGTTCATTAAAAGAAACCAGGCCTTACAGGAAGGCAAGGTTTGGTAGAACTTACCAGAAGGTTTCTGGCATATATAGCCTTGTTTACTGTCACAGTTATCATCCATCCATTTTCCTGCTTCCCTTAATTTGCCTCCAAGAATAACGACACAGTCCACCTGTATATTTAATAGAAAAATCTTAAAATAAACCTGACAAAAAACACTTTACCTGTAAAGAAGCAATGATAATATTAGATTTCCCTCCAGAAACCATGCAAGCTTGAAGTAAGTAGAAAGCAAGTTAAAGAGTTGAAAGAAAAAAACCCACCAACCTATAATTCTGTATTCAGTGAAATTTTTATTCAAAGTGAAAAGGAAACAAAGACTTTCTCAGAGAATTGAGAAACACATTGAGAGAATGTGTTAACAGTAGACCTGAATTGAAAGAAATGTTAAAACAAAAAGCAAGGAAAATTACATGCATCAGAAACTCAGGTCTATATAAGGAAATGAAGAAATTTTTTCATTTTCCTCATTCTTAATTGATCTAACAGATAACAGTTTGCTCAAAATAATAGCAGCAACAATGAATTTGGTGAGAATAGCTTATGGGTAAGTGAAATGAATGACATCAGTATTATAAGGGGCAGGAGGAAGAAATGGGGGATACTCTGTTATAAGGTACTTGCACCAGCTGGGAAGTGATATAGTGCTATTTAAAAAGCACTTGGATTAGTTGTACATGTATGCTGCAAATTCAAGAGCAACCCCTGAAGAAAGTTTTTTTTAAAAAGTATAATTGTTATGTTAAGAAAATGGAGTCATACAAAGTATTTAAGTAAACAACAGAAGGAGAAAAAACATGAGAGGAAGACAAAAAAAGAAACAAAAAACAATAGAAAATATGATGGATATTAATCCAACTATATCAATAATTATTTTAAATGTTAATGGTCTAAATATACCAATTAAAAGATAGAGACTCATACATTGGTACAAGAAACTCACTTTAAATAGAAAGACACATCTAGACCAAAAATAAAAGAATGGAAAAAGATATACGATGTTAACACTAATCAATAAGAAAAAGATATACCATGCAAACACTAATCAGACAGAGCAGACTGCAGAGCAAGGAAGGTTATCAGAGATAAAGAATTGCATAATTATAAAGGAGACAACAATTCTCCAAGAAGATACAACAGTCCTTAAGGTTTATATGCCTAACAACAGAGCATCAAAATATGTAAGGCAAAAACTAACAGAACTGCAAGGAGAATTCACAATTAAAGTTGGAGACTTCAACAACTCTCTATCAAAAATGGACAAATCCAGCAGGCAAAAAATCAGAAATGACATAGTTGAACTGATTAGTACCATCAGTCAACTAGGTCTCATTGACATCTATTGACTACTTTATCCAACAACAGCACAATATACATTCTTCTCAAGGCCACATGGAACATTCACTAAGACCATAAAACACACCTTAACGAATTTTAGAAAATAGAGAGCATACAAACTGTACTCTAAGACTATAATGACATTAAACTAGAAATCTGTAACATTTAGCTGAAAACCCTAAAATGCTTAGAAATTAAAGAAAATATTAAGTCAACAGTACACCATTAGCAATACGCAAATACAAGAAAAAATAAAGTGACTGAAGTTTGAATGAAATAAAAGTGACAGGTGTCACTGTAAAGTAAACACAGCTTTAACCCATTACCTGAGCCACAGTTAATCATAGCCTACACTACTGCTGCAGTCATCTTGTCAACCTCCTTGCCTCCAGTGTCCTTATCCCATAAGCCTCAACTATCAGGCACCCTCAATCCTACATTTCACTCCCATCTCTCTTCTTAGCCGTTTTCCTGACTTAGAGTCATTGCTCTAATCTAGAAAACCTGTTACAAAACAAGTATGTTTCCTCCACAAAAAGCATTATGAAAAGTTTTCTCCCATTCTCTTTAGCTGTATTTAATCCTCTGTTTTTTAAGTCCTAAAATTGTAACAAAATATTATGCATGTTTTGATTCCATTTTTGTCAAGTACATACTTTAAATATTTACATGCACTATGAAATAGTCTAGGAGTAAGTTCAACAAAAACTTAACAGGTTTTTTTTTTTTTTTTCTGAATGATGAGCTGACAGATTTTGTGTATTGGTCTGTTTTTATTTTTTCTGTTTTCCCTTATGTTCCAAAAACAACAAAAAATGCAATAATGAATTTTTATTTACATAAAATTCACCACTCTTCTATTAAATTTTTAAAGCAAACTCTAGCTCTCTCCATTCTACTTTAACTTCTTCAGTAAGCTTTCAGTCCTCTTTTATGTAATGAGGATCAAAGAATTTTTCCACAGAAAGTCACTTACACATCACTAAAATGTATCTATCCCACACACAGCTACCAAAGTAATTACCATGAAAATGACATTTGATTAGATTGTTTTTATACTCAATCTCAGTCCTCTTTTATGTAATGAGGATCAAAGAATTTTTCCACAGAAAGTCACTTACACATCAGTAAAATGTATCTATCCCACACACAGCTACCAAAGTAATTACCATGAAAATGACATTTGATTAGATTGTTTTTATACTCAATCTTTTTTTTTTTGCTGCCTGTCTGACAAACTCCAAACTCTCTCATAGAGCATCTAAATTTCTCTAAATTCTGCTTTCTACCTTTTGAAGCTAACTCCTACTTTTCTGCATAAAACTCCTGCGACATCCAACCATTTGCTCCTGCCCAAACATACCTTGTGACTTTTTCTTGAAGACTTTGCTCACCTTTCCCACATAGCATCGCCTTCCTCATTCTCTTGCCAATAGTATTATTATGATTATTATGCTTCGAACTTCTTGGGGAAAAAAGCTCATAGTTGATTCTTTTTTTATTCCTCTCACTACCACCCACCATGTAATGCAAATACAGTGCCTTACACAATGGGCTTTCTAGATATGTGTCAACTTATTAAACCACTCCATCCCACAGCGAGTTTCTTTCCCCTTAATGATTCTAGTACTTTACAGCTGATCCTGTCATTATACACTTTCATTTCTTTATGATCTTCTTTCTTATGTAAGACTAGAGGTCTAGCTGAAGCATTAAGCTTAAGAACAAAATCTTACATTTTTTTCATGCTTTTCACAATCCCTAGCACAGTACTTGACATTGATTAGTTGACTAGTCAATTATATAAGTATAAAAGCAGTAAAGTAAAGAAGCAATAGTCTGTCTCTTAGGCTAACGTACCAAAACTCTTAGCACAGTGTTTGGCACATAATAAGCACTCTATAAATGTTACTGCTCAATAATAATGATGATGATGACGACGATGATGATTATGATATCTTTACGAATAGTAGCAGCTTCTAGACCTTTACCTCCAATACTACAACAGCTTCAAGAGGTTAGAGGCAGCTGGTGCAAAGTAAGTTGATAACTCTGGGTCAAAGTATTTAGCCTCACTACAAGATCAGCTCAGACTGCAGCTAGGTTTTCCTACCCATTGCCATCACACTGCCAAGCCAAAGAGTTCTTATCTGAATTTATACCCCTTCCTTCAAAGTAAGCTTAGCCTGAAACAGTTCAAAGAATGGACCAGATCAAGGAGCATTCTGGTAGATTTTCACAGAAGATCAATCAATCATATGATGACTCAGTGCCAGCTGATAGTGAATAGAGAGGTGACCTGAAACCGATATTTACATCTTCATAAGAAAGACTGCTTCTTCTTCCACCGGGGTAACCTTTCCCCCAGTTTGTATAATGAACTCCTCGCCCATCCGTCCAAAGGAAAGTGTGCTCTGAATTGATATCATTCAGCCCAATCCATGTATTTAAAGTGGAGTTCTTCATATGATAGGTTAGAAATGCTGAAAGAAAGTTTCGAAAAAAATAATTTCAAACACTGGGGGCTAATACTAAAATTACAGAAAAATTTCAAAATGCATTAATTTCAACATACTGAGCACATGATTCATGTCTTCATTATTATTTAAAAGCACTTAGCAAGGAAACAAATACATTTTAACTTTAACATTGTGTTATCACTTGTTCTTTGGACTTTGAAAATTTTCTTATAATAAAAATCTAGGTTTTATCTAGGCCACTGCTGATAGTTGTGCAAGTTGCACCTTGCCCAACAGCACTGGGTCAAGGGGGCCAAAGGAGGCTCAAGTCTATTCCATGTGCCACTGTCCATTTTGTGCACATCAATCAGGGTTATGGCTGCCTCCTATCCTGCAAGAGGCACATCTTTCTAATTCAGAAAAAGTCATCTTACAGGTTAGCACCTGTCTCGATTCTAAGATGATCTGATTACAGTAACTTGGGAGAGAGGACACTTGACCCATAAAGTTCTGAAAACAAATACCATTTGCCAAAACAAGAAACATTAGGCTGTCAAACTATCAATATCTCAAATTACCAAACCCAAAGAGCTACTCAGTTGGGATTCCTCCCAGACGGGCAATTCCTAAGAGATCAGTGGCCATCCACTGAGTGTGCCTGGACCTACGGGGCATCCTGATGCTTAAGTGCTCATATCACTGAGTGAGAAGATAGAGTATTTTGTCAAGCAACAGAAACAGACTCACACAAGCACCTACTCTATAGAAAAACAATTTGCAAACATTTATGCTCAAATACGTCCCCTGAGTGTAAATAGGAAATGGAATGACTAAGCCCTTGGGGTTACTAATAGAAAATGCAAAATTGAAGTCCACAGAGATACAATGCTCTGTTTATTCCTGAACAAACAATTCCAGGGAAGAGCACTTACTGTATGCTTATTCTTTCTGCAGAGTAGGAGAGGCAGCAACCACCTTGCTCAGAGAGATGTACTTTTTCCTCAACTAACTAAAGGTTAAAAAAAAATTCTTCCAACATTTTTCAGACAGAGAAGAGCATGGGTAGATACTTATTTTTGGTTTTATTTTGTTTCCTAAATAAAATCATAATTTTTGCCTTATCCCCAACTTGAAGTGAAACGTGGAAAAGCTCTACCTGCCAATATTCAGTTCTTTTTTCTGCCAGCAACCACAACAAGAATTCAACAACGTGTGCCTGTTTTGCCAGCAATAATGTTATTTTATCTGAAAATTGTTTCCTTCTGCACATCTCTATTATCCAGGTTCTAATTTTGTTATGCCAGGAATCAGCACTTTATGGTTAAGAGAGGAAATCAATTACTGTGTTTCTCTGCTGGGTAGCTAAGCCCAAAATGCGGTAGACCGGTTAAAGAAATGTGAATGTTACATTCTTGTATTGTATGCTTTGAAGTGACCTTTTACTTTTAGTGCTGGCAAGTCGCTGAATGTGTCAAAAGTTCTCAGTGAAAGCTTGGTTGATTTATTGTACAATGTGTTCTATGGGAGCACTTGGTAACATTAATAGACTAAAATAAACATTTGGGAGAGCGCCATGCCAATTTCTAATATCTTCCTTCTTTCTTATACTTTTTGAGACATACTTTTTTCAGTAAATGATCTTGGAAGTCAAACAAATTTAGAACCAAAAGAGAGCTTAGAGAATATCCAGTCCACATCTCAAAAATTTATATAAACATCTATGGAGCATCTTCTACACTGTGTACCAATCAATGTATGTGACTCTCCAGCATCCATTTGAGGATACTCCAGTTCAAGCATTTTCACAGCCCTTTAGAAACTTCATTTCCCTCACGAAGCAGCCCATCCAATCAGTTCTGTTAGAATGGCTTCCTAATTTTCAGCCTAAATCTACTTCCTTGAAACTGCATTCATCAGTAATTCCAGGGCCACACAGATCAGTCCTTCAAAGTCCACATTCTCTCTTTTCCAAGCTGTGTAACCTAGGGTCTTTCAACCATTATTCATTTATGGTGGTTTCCAAACCCATGATCAGTTTAGCCTGAATCTCCTGCAGTTGGCCAACATCCTCCTTCAAGTGCAGAAAGTCACAAATTCAATCTCTTTCAGCAAAGGCAGCCCCTCAAAGACCACACACAAGTGGTAGGTACCTTTCTTTTGACAATACGATGAATTTTACAATCTGCTGTATGGATACGGTGAGTTTTCTACTTCAGTGCTCTTCTTCATAGCTCTGGTTTATTCTTATGTTTTATCAAAAAATTGTTCTCAATTTGTCCAAAGTTCATATTGAAAATATCAGTCTTATTGCATTGTAAGTGATAGGGTCAAGTGACTAGAAGAGCAGTAAATGGGAAATCAGCAATTTTTCATTTTATCATTAAAACTACTCTTCCTTGGCTGTTTGGGGAGCAAACTGATTTGGTGGAAACAGGATGGGATTTAAGCTAGACAGAACTAGGTTTGACTCCCAACTCCACTGCTTACCAGGCAAGCTCCTTGACTCAAAGCTCTCTGAACACTATTTCCTCATTCACAAAATGGGGTAATCATACCTGCTTTATAGGGTTGTGATGACAATGGGAAAGGACTTTATGTAAAAAGCATGCTGGCTACAACTAAATAAAATAGTTCTCAGCAAGAGTGTGATTTTTCCCCCCCTTCCTAGTTTTTACTATGGAAAACCAAAAACTCATTTACTATCAGCAACGTCCTACCATTTGACAGGCAAAATTACATATTTAAATGCATCCCAATCATACCTGCTTTATAGGGTTGTGATGACAATGGGAAAGGACTTTATGTAAAAAGCATGCAGGCTACAACTAAATAAAATAGTTCTCAGCAAGAGTGTGATTTTTCCCCCCTTCCTAGTTTTTACTATGGAAAACCAAAAACTCATTTACTATCAGCAAAGTCCTACCATTTGACAGGCAAAATTACATATTTAAATGCATCCCTGATTGTAGAATAGCCTATGTACCTTGCTCTCTTTCACTGTGTATGGATACCAGATTTCCTCCAAATTCTCTGCAAGCTTTTCGTGCATCCATCCAATTTTTTCTCTCTTCGTCAACAAATCCAAATATTTTGAAACACTAGGATGGAAGGAAAAAAAAACATAGGAATTAACTAAAGATAATAAAGTTTCCTCTAAAGAAATCAAAATTCTTCATGAAGTTATAGCTAAATATAAATTTTCTCAAAACCAAATAGAGATTTAAAAACTTAAGTTAGTTTTATGACCCACAATCATTCTTTGCAAATTTTTATTCTCCCTCGGGATAAAAGGTAGCTATTAGGATAATATCTTCAAGTATGCTCTCAATTTCCATAAAGAATTTGTCATGGGAATCTCCACCTATTCTTGCTAAATATTTTAAGCAAAAGTTAACCTTAAGGTGAAAGATTTTCATTGTCAGTCTCCATACTGATCAATGTCAAGACTGAAATTAATTCTCCTAGTACCTTGTTATTGTAAAAACTCCAACCTTCCGTACAACCTGCTGGGCCTGGGGTCATGGTAGGTGCAACTGTGGTGGCATTGATGCTGCTGTTATGTCGCTGACAAATGAAGGCATTTGGATAACCACAATTAATGTCATTCCAAAACCCTGGCAGAGAACAAAATAGTTAAATTAGATTTACATGTTTATGTTTAAACACACTCTTTTTGAAAAACATATTTATATTTTATAAGGATTCTCAAAAATGGTTCAGACTATAACAAACTTTATTTTTAAACCAGTGACAAGAAGAATCCATGCAATATCCTTTTGCTCATTCACTTAAACTACTAATAGTTCAACTTTATAGGGAGCTTCTTGTGCAGTAAGCAGGTACTTGGTGTTGCAGATATATTATCTGAATAGGTAGTAATAACTAATAATAATAATCTAATAATACTAAACTTTTCATATACCAAGCATCTGCCAATGTTTTGGATATAATATTTCATTTAATCTTCTCAACAACAGATAAATCTGTCATTATTCCCATTTTAAATAATAATAAAGAGCTGGAGAGAGAGATAAAGGAGACAGATAAACATATTTTGGGTATTTTTCTGAAATCAGACCACAAAAAAATGTTTTATAATTTGAGAAGAAGTGAGAAGACCAATTATGCCATTTATTAGCATAATCGTAGAGCATCGATTCTCCTTACAAATTGAACAGTTACGCTACTAAGATTGGATTTCTCAATTATTTGCTCTTTTTATCTCACCGAACTTAAGTACACAACTTGCTACTTTCAGCCTAGGGATGTAGGAAATGACACATCACACCACAAAGCAAATTCAAGAAGATGTGGTATTGTGTACCTGAGTTGNTCTAGAAGAGGGAGTCATAGGGAGACTAGAGGAAAACCCCCAAATGCATGGGTGCTTGGTGAATCCTCAGCATTGGGCTCCTCTAGCAACCTTGATGTCTTGGCGAGTCTGTCTTCTTTTCCCTCACTGGAAGACACTACCTTTTGTCTTGAAGTGGGAGAACAAATGCAGATCCCTGCTACTCAGGAAGTGGGCCAGAAACAGAAATCAAATCCTCCCATATTTCTCCTTGGGCACGACTCCCACAAAACAAAACCACCCACAGAGAGGTAGAGAATATAGAATTTCTCATTAGACCCATTCTCTGATTTTCAAGGTTACTCTGGTGCCTTGTAAGGTACATTATTTGCTACCAATGCTTATTTTCATAAATTATAGAAATTCAGAGACTGTGAGTGCTGGCAAGGGACCAAAAAAGATCATCGAATTTGACCCTCTCATTTTAGAGATGATAAAATGGTGCCTGTCCAAAAGAACAACAAACATTTCTGTTCTTTAAAAATAATGACCTTGGGGCCGGCCCAGTGGCGCACTGCTGTAGTGCGCCGCTTGGGAAGCGCGGCGGCGCTCCCNAAAGGAGACAGATAAACATATTTTGGGTATTTTTCTGAAATCAGACCACAAAAAAATGTTTTATAATTTGAGAAGAAGTGAGAAGACCAATTATGCCATTTATTAGCATAATCGTAGAGCATCGATTCTCCTTACAAATTGAACAGTTACGCTACTAAGATTGGATTTCTCAATTATTTGCTCTTTTTATCTCACCGAACTTAAGTACACAACTTGCTACTTTCAGCCTAGGGATGTAGGAAATGACACATCACACCACAAAGCAAATTCAAGAAGATGTGGTATTGTGTACCTGAGTTGGAGTACATGGTTACACAGTTTTCATCTTCATTTGCAAAATTGGGTTCACCTGTGGCCCAAGAGACATAATCCACTTTGCTTCCATCCATCCAACTGGAAAAGAAAATTCAGGCATTTTGCAACAATCCAATCATTACAATAATTGGCCATAGCCTAGTTGGGGGAAAGGCAAGTCAATCTAGAAGAGGGAGTCATAGGGAGACTAGAGGAAAACCCCCAAATGCATGGGTGCTTGGTG